TCCATCAACAAAATAAGCCACTGCATTCTCCACCAGTATGCTCTAGAAGCTCTTGCTCTCTTCCAGAAGCTAGACAGTCATTCAGAAGAAAGCTGCGACCAAAACTCATAAATCTGACTCATCTTTTTGCTGGCTTGTAAACAATCACCACAGATAAGCACTGTGCTCCTGTCCAAAGTAGGAAACATCGTTCAGAGAAAAGGTGGAAGTAGGAAAACAGTCTGTCCACCTCTGAACAAAATCAAGTATGTTTTAGCCAACTATCACCCACCTATATCTCTCTCATTTATCAGAAGGCCCAGAGAAGTTAGTCAGAGACCAACTACAAGCTCCTCTAACTAATTTGGCGAGTATCCTAGAGCATGCAGAGGCTGGATTCACACCAAGATACAGAGCAAACTGCTCCAACAGCAGTACTGAATGATCTCATCCCATCACCAGACATTCTTGTCATCCTCATTTGATATTGTCAGCCATGACATACAGCTGACTTACCTGACAGAGGTGGCAAAAATCCAGAAGAAATACGCTTAAATGCTGTGAAGTTTCTTCTACAGCAATATATTCATCCAAGTGCTGCTGGAAAGCACTTTATTACTCGCTTCTCTATTTGCAGAATTTTACAAAGATTAAGCCTCTCTGACCGATTTACCTAAATGACTGCATCTCTGTGATGAAGCAGACCTGACAAAATGGGCTCAAGGGATAAAAATAGCATTGCTGCCTATCTACCCGTCACCACATGTGACTACATCACTATCATTCAAGAGGATTCTGTAATTTCACAGCATCTGCTGGTGGAGAACCTACACAAGGCAGTGTCAACATTAGCAATCAGAGAAAAACATTTTGAAGAGTTTTCAGTTGATGAGTGGTCAAAAGATATAACCTGTTATACAGCTGTTCCCTTTGACTTACAGTTCAACAACCTCCTGGTTTCTAGGTCTGCTCCATATTCCCCAAAGCATCATCTATAACCAAGACTTACACCATCTCCTGAACAGACACTTCAGAACCCTGGTGCCTTGTTTGACCTCTAAGTTGATTTCCTGTACACATCTGAAGTTCAAGTCTCAAACTTGCACTCACAGCAGATCTGGCACCCTGCAGTACACTCACATGAACACATCTCCATGTCCCTTAACACAGGTCTGGGAAAAAGGCAGGCGTAAGCTGCTGCCACCAGAACAATTAATAAAGCCAGTCCTAGCAGCCTCTTTCCTGAGGTCATCTCAGGGCCACAAAGAACTCTGGATCAGATGAATTACTTTCCTTAGAGTCCTCCTGTTTCAGAAGTTTATTTCAGCCACCCTTGTCACATAATATGGTAGATGAAAATAGGTACTGTCAAAGGGGAAAAAAACCCAAGGTGTTCCACAAAGATGAGAGACAAAAGGTTGCTGCTGTCCCAGAAAGATTACCTTTGCTCTTATTCTACTCGCCGAGTATCCTGAGTTGCCTCAGAAGACTGAGCTACAAAATGATCTGTGCTGTCCCAATCTCTCTAACATAACTCTCCATAACCTCTAGAGGCTGTAGGTTGAACATGCCTGGCACAGCGGAAAGACCACTGATAAGGTGATCAAATATTCAAGAAAAGAAAGTTATCAAAGATAAACAACTGAAACTAGGATTTAACTCCAAGGACTGATTCTACATGCTCGCTCTTCAACTGTTTTTATGCATAGCTAGTTGAAACAAAGACAGCTGAAACGTTTGCATGCACTTAAGACATCTAAATTCTCTTTCAGAAAAGCCTCATAAAAACATAACTTCATAGAACAACAGAGCCATAATAAAATTAATGTATGAGAATAAATATGATTAAACACTTTCACATGCTTGCATTACCCATATTGTTTATAGTTCCTAATACATTGATATCAATATTCTTATTTTCTCTGAGTGAACACGCTTCACCGTTACAGCACATGTAACCTCTCATTCCTTTTAATACCATTTCTGGCATTTATTATAAATGGCACATATCTCTATAGTAATCACAAAACTGAGGCTATTAAAAGAGGAAGTTTATTCATTTCCAGGGAAATTCTATTTACTGCCCTTTTTACATCTAGATCAGTCTTGACAGTTCCATACAGAAAAGGAAGTTTTAAAACTAGAATGCTTCCACTGAATTAACTGGAAAATAATATGGTAAAATAACTGTTATGTTCACAGAACATGGCCCCTTTCCCTTGATGTAGTATGTTATACAAAAGAAAATACTATTGATGCCAGTCTCTCAAATACAAATTAGAATTTAAACAAGGCAGAAGCAGGATATCTAGTATGACATTTGATACATTTTTATGAATGTACTACAGAAGTTCCACAATAACAAACTCTTTCAAGCCCAGAGTTGATTTTACATATATATACATATATATATTACACCAAGTTACTTCACTTAAAAACTTTTGGTAACAGTTTGTATGTTTGTGGATGTCTTCAGATGCTTCTGAACATGTTCATTTAATTAAACAGATGTTAATCTGGACTCCTACTGCTATTCAGAAGCTAAAAAGCAGTGCGCTCTCTAAATAAGCTGCACAGCAAATTACATATTACTCAAGCACCACATAACTCCACTGAAAAAGAAATTTTCAGAGCATCCCAAACAAAAGTCCATTATTAAAAGGAAATCAGTATATTTAAATAATGTGAACTACCACCACCAGCTGTTCTCAATTCCTGATTGGCCTAGTAGTAGGAGATAGGAGTAGAAAATAGACTGGCCTAGCGTAGAAAATCGTTTTAACTTCAAGGCACTGGGGGCTGGTGGGTCGTGTTGGTTTTCTTTTGTTTTAAAGGAACTAAGTTAACTGCCTGTCTTCACAGGAGTATGGAAAAGAATAAACAGTGATCACACCGTTCAGGTTTAAATTATTTGGGTGAGAAATTAATCAAAAAACAACCCTCGTAACAACAACCACCCCAAAAATCTACTCAGGGATTCCAAACGTTGAAACCAGAGCTCGGAAACCAGCCTCTTCCCAGAGCCGCGCCAGCCACCTTGTGCGAGACAAGCTCCAAGGTTCAGGGTCTTCCACCCCCCCGCAGAAACCTCATTCTCCTGCTGATGGGTGAAACCCGCCTTTTCACTCGAAGCCAGCCCCTTCCTGGTGTCCCCCCGCCTATGGCTACGCTACCCGTGCACCTCCCAAATATTAAGCGCAGTCATGACACCCCGACAGCTCCGGGCGGCATTAACCCCTGGTACAACGAGGAAAACAGGCTGACGCGACCCAAGTCCCGCGCAGAGAGGGAGCCCCAGCCCTGCCCTGGACCTCAGACCCCCGCAGCTCAAACCCCGGCGCTGCAGCTGGGCGAGGGAAAAGCATGGAGACAGCCTGGGCGCTGCCCTGCCCCTGCCCCGCGGGGGCAGCTCGGGGCCTCCGTGTGGGGAGGGCGCCGGCGCCTTTTGTGCCCCCTCAGC